ATTGAAAGATATGAATTTAGTGCCAGTGTATTGCCTGTAAGGTGACTGTTACTGTATATTGTCTCTATTCCTTTCCGGTCTATGTTACTTTCAGGCTCTCTCTTTGCTTAGAGGACCCCTTTCAATATTTCCTGTAGGGCTGGTTTGGTGTTTGCAAATTCTTTTAGCTTTTGTTTGTCCTGGAAGCTTTTTATCTCTCCTTCTATTTTCAATGACAGCCTAGTTGGATATAGCATTCTTGGTTATGTATTTTTCTCCTTTAGTGCTCTGAATATATCATGCCAGTCCTTTCTGGCCTGCCAGGTCTCTGTGGATAGATAGGTTTGCTGCCAATCTAATGTTTCTACCATTGTAGGTTACAGACCTCTTGTAACCTACAATCCCGAGCTGCTTTCAGGATTTTCTCTTTGTCTCTGAGACTTGTAAATTTTACTATTAGATGTTGGGGTGTTGACCTATTTTTATTGATTTTGAGGGGGGTTCTCTGTGCCTCCTGGATTTTGATGCCTGTTTCCTTCCCCAAATTAGGGAAGTCTCCACTATAATTTGCTCCAATATACCTTCTGCCCCTCTGTCTCTTTCTTCTTCTTCTGGGATCCCAATTATTCTAATATTGTTTCGTCTTATGGTATCGCTTATCTCTTGAATTCTGCCCTTGTGATCCAGTAGTTGTTTATCTCTCTTTTTCTCAGCTTCTTTTTTCTCCATAATTTGGTCTTCTATATCATTAATTCTCTGTTCTGCCTCATTTATCCTAGCAGTTAGAGCCTCCATTTTTGATTGCACCTCATTAGTAGCCTTTTTGATTTCAACTAAAAAGATTTTAGTTCTTTTATTTCTCCAGAAAGGAATTCTCTAGTATCTTCCATGTTTTTTTCAAAACCCATCTAGTTTTTTTTTTTTTTTTAAGATTTTATTTATTTATTTGACAGAGAAAGACACAGCGAGAGAGGAAACACAAACAGGGAGTGGGAGAGGGAGAAGCAGACTCCCTGCCGAGCAGGGAGCCCGATGCGGGACTCGATCCCGGGACTCCAGGATCATGACCTGAGCTGAAGGCAGTCACTTAACCTACTGAGCCACCCAGGCGCCCCCATCTAGTTTTTTATAATCATCATTCTGAACTCTAGTTCTGACATCTTACTAATATCCGTATTGATTATTAGGTCCCTGGCAGTCGGTACTGCCTCTTGTTCTTTTTTTTTGAGGTGAGTTTTTCCATCTTGTCATTTTGTCCAGAGGAGAATAGATGAATGAGGGAACAAAATGCTAAAAGGGTAACATCGACTCCAGAAAAATATACACTGAACAAATCAGAAGAGACCTGAAACCGGGGGGAAAAGAAAGGGAATGCAAAAAAAAAAGAGAGAGAGAGAGAGAGAATATGATCGGGCTGGTGAATAGATCAGAGCCACAGACTAGATTTTGGGCATATTTTGGTCTGTTAGAAGAAAGTGCCTCCCAAAATTTTAAAGAAAGTAAAACTTACATATGTACAAAAATAAGGTAAATACGATGAAGGGATGGAATATGACTGTAAAGATGAAAATTATAAAAGATTTTATAAAAGGAATCGATAAGAAGTTGGTTGAATGGGGCACCTGGGTGGCTCAGTTGGTTAAGCGGCTGCTTTCGGCTCAGGTCATGATCCTGGAGTCCCGGGATCGAGCCCCGCGTCGGGCTCCCTGCTCAGCAGGGAATCTGCTTCTCCCTCTGACCCTCCTCCCTCTCATGCTCTCTGTCTCTCATTCTCTCTCTCTCAAATAAATAAATAAATAAAAATCTAAAAAAAAAAAAGTTGGTTGAAAAAAGAAAGAAGAAAAATTTTTTTAAAAAGGGAGAGAATGTGATAAGGCAGGAAACTAGAACAAGGCCATATACTAAAGATTTAGGGTATATTTTGTTCTATTGGAAGAAACTGTCTCCTAAAATTTTAAAGAGAGAAAAACTTATATATACACAAAAAATAAACTACAATGAAGGGATAGAATGTGACTCTAAAATTGAAAATTAAGAAAGATTTTTAAAAAAGGAATTGATAAGATGTAGCTTGAAAAAGGGAAAAAGAAAAATTCAAAAAAAATAGAAAAAGAAAAAATAAAGAAAATTTAAAAAATTAAGTTTGAAAGACTAAAGAATCATGGGGTAAAAAGCCATGAATTCTATGTGCAGCATTCCCCTAATGCTGGGGTTTTGCTGTTGTCACTGAGTGGTAAACTTGGCCTTGGCTGGCTGTTCTCGCTGATCTTCTGGGGGAGGGACCTGTTGCCGTGGTTCCCAAATGTCTGTGCCGGAGGTGGAATTGCCCCGCCCTTGCCCAGTCTGTTTTAAGTCATCCGCTAAGGTTTGCTCTCAGGAGCTTTTGTTCCCTGCAAGCTTTTCGTACAGCTTTGGAGGACAAGAGTGACAATGGCGGCCTCCCAATCTCCGCCCCAGAGGAGCCGAGAACTTGGGGCCCCACTCCTCAGTGCACCCCCAGAGAAAAGCAGTCCGTCACTCCCGTCTCCCTGGTCTCCGGCCGCACTCCGTGCTCACCCGGCCTGTGACCAAGCGTTTCTATCTCTGGCACCCGACCCCATGTGGAGTCTCCAAACCCAGCAGATCCCTGGGTTGCGCTCTGGCGCCGCTCCTCCCGGGGGAGGAAGGGGAGTCTCCCCGGATCTGCCACTTGTTGGGTCCCTGCTGGAGGAGCAGTGGCCCGACTATGCCACGGATCACGGTTTATGGCAACCCCGAGCTGAGAGCCCACCCCTCGGCTCCATCTCTATAGCCGGCTTCCCTGCTCTGATACCTGGGAGCTCTGCCGCACTCCGGCACCCCCGGTCTTTCTGTGACCCCGAGGGTCCTGAGACCACACTGTCCCAGGGAGGGTTCCACCCCCCGCTTAGCCACTGGAGTGACGTCCCTCAGCGGAGCAGACTTCTACAAGTTCCGATTTTGTGCTCTGGGGCTCTATCACTTGCCGGTAGCCAGCAGCCGGCTGATGGAGGCTCCCTCCCCCCGAGGTCTATCTTCCTGAATATCCAAATATCGCCTCGGATTCACTTCTCCGCAAGTCCTACGGAAATGGTCACTTTTCTGTTCAGAGAGTTGCTGCTATTCTTTCCTTCGATCTCCTTTTGAGTTCATAGGTGTTCAGAATGGTTTGACCCCTATCTAGCTGAATTCCTGGGACCAGACAAAATTTAGGTCTCCCACTCCTCTGCCATCTTGCTCCTCCTATTTTTTCTTGATTAAACATCCAGGAGTGGAATTGCTCTGTCCTAGGTCAGATACATATATAGTTTTGTAAAACAACATGACATTTTCGCAAGTTAGTTGTAGCATTTTACACCCCCACCCACAATATATGGAAGGTCGGCAGCTCCCATGCTCCACACCATTTTGTGATGTGCACTGCCTGTAAACTTTTATACTTGGGTCTTTGTGCAGACATATGAGGAGGTCTGTGGGGTAGAGTCCTGGAAGTGGAATTGGGAAAGGAACGTACACATTTAAAGTTTTGATATATTGGTGGCTCAGTCAGTCTCGATTTTGGCTCGGGTCATGATCTCAGGGTTGTGGGATCAAGCCCCATGTCGGGCTCTGTGCTCAGTGGGGAGTTTGCTCCCCCCCACAAATAAATAATAAATAAATATATAAATCTTTAACGTTTTGATATATTTTCTCATATGCCCTCTGAAAGGATTGTAAAAATGGATATTTTCGTTAGTGGCAAATGAGAGTATCTGCCTTCCCTTACCCTTAACCACACCCGGAAGTATTTCCTTACTTGTTTGTTACAAAGGTCTTTACTAAACACTTACTATGTGTGGACAAAGGGATAAGGCAGTTCCCAAACCACGGAAAGGCCCTGTGTCTGCTGAGCTTTATTCAAGTGGGGAAAGACAGAAGAACAAGTAAAACTCAATTATAAAATATGTTCGATGGTGATTTGGGCTCTAAAAGAATTAAGGCTGTGTCAGTGGTTTCTTTTCATATTTATTTGTGTATTTATTTGCTCCTTCTTCTTGAGTTCTGATTTCCACCCAGATAAATATACGGGTCAAGTGCACAGCTTGCTGTGTTTTTACACCAGCTAGCCTCTGCTGGTGCCAGCAGGAGGAGCTATAGGGCACGGATAGTTCTGGGCATTAGTCAAAGGATGGGAGCTACTGTAGGGGTGAGCATTGCAGGGAAAGGATCCCAGCCTGAGAGAATAGGAAGTGCAAAGGCCCAGAGGAGCATGCCTGGCCTGTGTCAGGAACATCAAAGAGATGCCTGCCCAGGCAAAAAGATGGAGGACAGAGGGGAGGAGATGAGGTCAGAGGCAGATCTTGTGGGGTCTGGTAGACCACTGTAGGATCTTGATTTGCTTTTTTCTTTTTTCTTAAGGAGAAGAAGCCATTGGAGGGTCATGAGTTGGGAGAGATCAACCTTTAGATATTACCCATCATTTGAATTTTTGCCAACCTCATGGATTAAGAAAATACCTTATGGTTGAGGCTAAGTGCTCCATACCAAGCAATCTGAATGCCTTCCCTTACTATCCAGTTGATACACTGTCTTTAGCTAGTAGATTGGCTATGGTTTTTATTTTTCTGTTTTGATTTTTCATTGTAGTAAAATGCACATAATATTTACCATCTTAACTATTTCAATGCAGAGTTCCGTAGTGTTACCAATTTGCATTGTTGTGTCACCATAGGGGCTGCCCATCTTCACAAGCATTTTCCTCTTGCAAAACTGAAGCTCTGTGCCTGTTAGACACTAGCTGCCCATGGCACCCCCCCCCCAGCCTCTGGTGTCTGTTTCTCTGAATTTGCCCATTCTAGAGACCCCCTTGAAGTGGAATCAGGCAGTGCTTGACTTTCACCATTGGCTTATTTCACTTAGCATGATGTCTTCAAGGCGTGGCATGGTATTAGAAGCTGGTTTTACCCAAGTCTGTTTTTCTGCTGCTGTCTGATTCTGTTTAATGCCCACCCTCCCTTTCCTGGGATGCTTGTTCTTGGCCTTAGATACGTGGTCTTCCTGGAGCTGTTCCTGCAGACGGCAGAGAAGCACTTCATGGTGGGACACAGGGTCACCTACTATGTCTTCACCGACCGGCCCACCGATGTGCCCAGGGTGCCCCTCGCAGAAGGGAGACAGCTGGTGGTCCTGGAGGTCCGAAACTATTCGCGCTGGCAGGATGTGTCCATGCACCGCATGGAGATGATTAGCAACTTCTCGCAGCAGCGCTTCCTCCTCGAGGTGGACTACCTGGTGTGTATGGACGTGGACATGAAGTTCAGCGACCACGTGGGTGTGGAGATCCTGTCCCCCCTCTTCGGCACCCTGCACCCCGGTTTCTACAGGGCGGCCCGCGAGGCCTTCACCTACGAGCGCCGTCCACAGTCCCAGGCCTACATTCCGAGAGACGAGGGTGACTTTTATTATGCAGGAGGCTTTTTTGGGGGTTCGGTGGTCGAGGTTCTCCAGCTGACCACGGCCTGTCACCAGGCGATGGTGGTCGACCGGGCCAACGGGATCGAGGCTGTGTGGCACGACGAGAGCCACCTGAACAAGTACCTTCTCTACCACAAGCCCACCAAGGTGCTGTCCCCAGAGTACCTGTGGGATGAACAGATGCTGCAGAGGCCTCCTTTCCTCAGGAAACTGCGCTACGTGGCGGTGCCCAAGAATCATGCGGAAATCCGGAACTGAAGAGCCCGGGGCCCAGGAGATCTCCATCCAAGGCTGCAGCTTTAGCAGGTCTTCCCCTGGGCAAGGGATCAACCAAAGATCTGATGCTATGGATGAGTCCCTGGGCCTCGGTTTCCTCTTCTGGAGAGGCTCCCACCACTCTTCCTTGTATTGAACCTGGGCTCATCCTTCATGGTGCCCACAAGTTCACCTTCCCCTGGAAGGTTTCTTTGATTGTGTCTTCCTCCTCCTATTGAAATGCACTGCTCTTCGCTCTGCATCCCTATAAAGCACTTAGTGTATTCCTTTGGCCAGATCTGCTGCCATTCTGCTCACATTGCCCATTGGTCTTGCTCATTACAATGTGAGCTCCTGAGGGCAGAAGCTAAGATTTCTTCTTCTTATAGGTCAGTACCTACCACAGTGCCTTATGCCCAGAGACTCTCAAAACATGACCCCTAAATACCTGGTGTACTCTGTACCCAGACAATGGGAGAGGCCCAGCCTGAAAGCACTTTTCTGGGTTTGGTTTGGGTGTATGATAGCTTGTTGCTCTGGGTTGTTTGTCTTTTTCTTATGGGTTTTGGGGAGTTTGTTTTGTGTTTTGGGTGTTAGTACTTTTTTCAGACACATGCTAAAAATCTCTTCTTCTAGTTTGTATGTTGCTACTTCAACTCTTTTAACATAGGTAAATTTAAGAACTCATCTCCTGCTTTGAAATCATGAAGATAGTGTCTTATGTTAGAAGATAGTGTCCAAAGCTTTATGTTTTTGCCTCACACTTAGGTCTTTAATCTACTGATAATGACTTGTGTGTGCTTTTAATGTAAGGATTTGATTTAATTTTCCTTTCTCTGGATAATGATTATCTGAGCACCACTTATTGAAAACATGTTTGAAAACTTCCGGGAAAGTTCTTTTCCCTGACTTGCACAATCTTCAGCCTCCTACTGTCAACTGTCCCCAGGTGCCTGGGTTTGTCTATTGGTCTGTCCTTGTGGTGATAACACACCATCTTCGTTACTCTAGGCCCATAATCAAATCTTGCTATCTGGTCCGGCAAGTCCTCCCACCTGATTCTTTAAGAGTATTTTGATTGCTCTTGGCCTGTTGCATTTCCATCTCACTTTTAAATCTTCTGTCAAATTACAGAAAGGAGCCAGCTGGAGTTTTAATATAATTTCATTTATTTATTTATGTTTTTGAGAGAGAGAGAGAGAGAGCACGCAGGCGAGAGTTGGGGGTAGGACAGATGGAGAGAATCTTAAGCAGGCTCCATGCCCACTGTGGAGACTGACTGGGGGCTCGATCTCATGACCCCGAGATCATGACCTGAGCCGAAATCAAGAGTCAGACACTTAACTGACTGAGCCAGCCAGGTACCCCTGGTTGGAGTTTTCATCAGAATTGTGCTGAGCTGAGCAGTGGTGCCCAGAGCGCCCCTCCCGTCCACCCGCAGGCTCACAAGGCAGGGCTGGTTCTTCTGAGGCTGGGATGGAGACTGCCGCTTACTCTCCCCCAGCACCTGGGGTTTTGCTTGCGGCCATGGGTGCTCCTCGAGGGCTGGTGCGTGCCCCCAAAACTGCCCCCATCTCTGCAGGCCATCCTCCCTGTGTGCCCGTCTGGCCCTTCCCGAGCAGGTGAGAGCTCACAGAACACAACACACAAGATCCTTCTGTTGCAGGAATTCTCTGCCTTTAGTGCCCGCAGTTCTTGGTCTTGCCGCTTCGAAGAATGAAGAGGTAGACCAGATGAAGAGTGGTGGGCAGCAAAGCAAAGTTTATTGAGCAAGAGTGTAAAGCTCCCAGAGAGGGAGGGGGGCCCAAATGGGAGGGGGGCCTGAGAGGGTTTCCCTGGAGTTTCTACGTTTAGGGGTTTTTATGAGCTCTTTTGCAAAACTATCTTAAGCAACCAGGGCATGCTGAGTCCTGCAAATCAGGGCTTTGATCCTGTATCTGTCTACCTATTAGGTTAATATCAATGTGTTGATGATCTTTTTTTGCTGACATCTGAGGGCTTATGTCTTCACTGCCCCTTACCCATGATAGGGACAAATGCCTTGTGGTTAATTGCCTTATTTTAGGACGTTTTGCAGAAGTCATTTCTGCAAAGGCTGCAAAGCAGAATGTTAGTGTGGTCCTATCTGAGCTGCAAAACAGGATGTTAGTGCTGTTTTATCTTAGCTGTCCCAACTCCGTATTTTCATGTTGGGGACCCTGGGCCTGACTACCTAACTGTCCAACTAACTCTTAACACTTCCTTCAAAAATTGCTTGTTGAAGAAACTGGCTCTTGAGATTGAAAACAAACAATCGGAGTTTCCCCATTTCTTTCACTTTCGGCTCATTTTCTCTCTCCCTGTTCTTGTCTGTTGTTCTCATGCCTTGGAACACGTTGCCTTGAGCATCCCCCCCCTCTGGTGCAGACAGTTTACACTCCCTTGGTCTTAAATGAAATAACAATTCAAGACTAGCTCCCCAGACCGTGTCCAGCCAGAGTCACCCACAGTCAGTGCCCCGCGGAGTCTCCATTGCTGGCCCGGGCTGGCCCTGCTGTCTTTCTTACTTGAAGTGGAATGTCGCTGGAGATTCAGCGCAGGAGACTGTTCCTGTAGTTGTTGCCCAGTACCCTCTCTTGGTACGTTGAGACTGTTTCCCTCTGGTCTTGCTAAATGAGAACTGTAGTTTTTTCCCTTAAATCAGGAGTGGATTTTGAGTTGGGTCAAGTCTTTTTGTAGTCTACTGTGAGAATCATCTAACCTTTCTCTTACTGCTAATGTAAGTGACTTATAAATGCAAAGTCCTTATTTCTGGACTTTGTTACTCTCACAGATCTGGGATTGACCCTGCTTGGTCATGCTGCATTACTCCACCATCTTGGTTTCTTCTTTCTTCTGTCTGTAGTCACCAGGATGACCCATCTATGGCAGTCGTTTGGGATCTCATCGGGAGACTTTGCCATCGTGGTCCAGAGAGTCTGGGAGATTGGATACAGAACCTTATTTTCTATGCTCTGGGATATTTGAATCATCTCGAGGTTTTTGTTCTTGCTCAAAAAGCCTGTGGAACCTACTGTCATCTATGGCGGTAATACCTGGTGGGTTCTTCTCATTCTTTCTCTGGTACATGCAGTTCCTTCAAGAGTCATGTTCAAGTTTCTACTTCTTGAGTCAAGTTTGATCATTTACTTTCTCTTGGAAAGTTGTCCACTTCACGTTGACTTTCAAATTTGTTGGCAAAAAGAAGAGGATTTTCGCTTTACAGTAACTTTCAATCTACATAATCTAAAATCAGACCGTCTTATCTCTAATGCTGTTTATTTGTGCTATCTCCTTCATTCTGATCTTTTTGCATGAGTATCAAAGATTATCTGTTAACAGAGTCGTTTGTTGGGAATGCTTCTTGTTTCTCAGAAAAGCATGTGGTTTTGACTTTCCCTCTGAGTACAGCGCAAGTAAGTTGTGGTCCTGGGTGTTTCTAGCCAATGTCCACATTGTCACTCCTTTCTAAATACTCTGCTTTTATTTCCTCTTTAACTCAAAAGAAATCTGAAAACTTGCAATAGTTGGTTGTGATTCCTGTTGCTATCCTTTAGTTGTGTGTTTGTGGATGTATAGTTTCGTAGCAAGAATCAAGCGAGTGCACAGTTTCAGCTCTAGGGAGTTGTTGAACTTCTTTTATGGCTTCCTGATGGATCATTCAAAACATTATTATGGGCAGTTGCAAAGAATGTATGCAAAATGGTACAAAGTTTGGAGAATGTTTGGCAATTTCTTAGAAAGTTAATATACACCTACCCTGTAAACCCTCAGTTTCACTCTCAGGTATTTGCCCAAGAGAACTGAAAACACATGTCCACAAAAAGACTTGTACAGGAACATTTCTATCAGCATTGTTGATAAAGCCCCAAACTGGAAACAATTCAGATGTCTACCAAGAGAAGAGCAGACAAGCAAAGCAGAGCATTCACACAGTGGAAAACTCCTCAGCACAGAGAAGAAATGGACTGTAGATGCATGAGGAACTTGGATGAGTCTCCAAAACATCATGCTGAGCCGGAGACCAGACCCAAGAGCACACAGGCTGTCGGATTCCGGGTGTCCTATCCAAGCAGGGGCAATACCCCTCTATAGTTACTGATCCTAGACAGTGGCTGCCACGGAGGAAGGTGGCAGTAGTTGTCTGGACAAGGGGCAGGAGGGGACTTTTTGGAGGTGATGGACATAGTTTTCATCCAGCTATAGGTGATTAAGTGTGTATTGCGATGGCCGAACATATTCGGTGTGTTTATTGGATGTAGATGAGATACCAATTAAGAGGACCAAGTCTCTCCCTGTGTGTCAGTAACAGCACACTAAATATTGGGATTGGATTCGTGTCTGATGACCATTATAACCAAGTACCAGAAGGCGAGTGGCTGAAAACAATGGAAATTTGTTTTCTCCCAGTCCTGGAGGCTGGAAGTCAGAGATGCAGGTGTTGGCAGGGCCGCGCTCCTTCTGAGATTCTACAAGAACCCTCCCTGTGTCTTCCAGCATCCAGTGGTGGCCACCCACATTTAGCCTTCCTTGGCTCGCAGCTTCCCCACTCCGTCTCTCTGCGGCTGCAGTCCTCTGTGCCTCTCCCCTCTGCTTGTGAGCCCATCAGTCATACTGGGTTAACAGCTCACTCTCCTCCGGTCTGACCTCACTTTAATTTGTGTCTTGATTGCCCCTACAAAGACCCTATTCCACACCAAGTCGTGTTCACTGGTGCCAGGGGTTAGGACATGAACCTCTATTTTGTGGGGGACATTATTCTACTGTAGCATGGATTAAACCAGCCTTTCTGTTCAAATGCTCCATGTCTACTGCCTTTTTTGTTTTCATAGGTTTTATTTTTTCAGAGCAGTCTGAGGCACACAGAAAAACTGAGCAGAGTCCCTGCTGAGTGTGGAGATCCTCTCAGGACGCCGAGATCATGACCTGAGCGGAAATCGAGAGTCGGACGCTGAACAGACTGAGCCACCCAGGGTCCCCACACACCTGCTTTTCTTGATTGACCTTCTCCTATAATATTTTGACTCCTTGCTAATGTTTTTCGAGCTGTCATGTAGTTATTTTTCTTTAAAAAGCATGTCACACAATCTGTGCATCTTTTACCAGGGGAATTTAACCTCTTCACACTTGGGATCATCAGTACATTTCAGGCTTATTCTTGCCATCTTATATCCTGTTTTCTGTTTCACCTTAACTGTTGAGCTTTCTAGTTCAGTCATACTAATACTTCTGCTGTGACCCTTTGCATCCTCACCTGCACTCACTGTGACTCTTTCTTTTCCCCTGCATTGCCAGTTGAATCATTGGCCCCCATCTCTTCTGCTTCCTGCTTTTACTCATTGTGTATTCTTCATGCAATGAGACTTTGGGGTCTTTGTTTCCAGGTCTGGGATCACTCTCGGGTGGCATTTGGGTATTTTAGTGTCTCACCTAGGAGCCCTCATTGTAATGAACTCTTCTTAAATCCTCGTCTGACACATGGGTGTGGAATGTCCTTTTATTCCCTCTGATGTGTCCATGCTGAGCGAGCTCTTCAGTGGTCTTCTCGAGCCTGGGCTGGCGTGTGCAAGGCGGCCATCAGTCTTGGACCACAGTGTCCTCAGCTTCTGCTTGCCACCATACCCTCCAGATGACCAGCGACCCTGTCCCACTGTGTCTGAGTCGTTTTGGTGTCCCAGTTTCCCTCGTGAGCCACCGCTGGAGGGCTGCATTTGTATTTTCCCTCCTTACCTCATAGCCGGGGAAGGTGGGACGGGGCTGAGGACACAGCGCAGATCAGCTGAGGCTGTGTGCAGGTGTCTCTACAGAATTTGAGAGCTTTAGTGATGTGCCACCTGCTAAGGTCAGCGGGGCCAAAGCCAAGGGAAATGTCATCATCTGCCTGGAGGCAGGGAAGGGGCGCGGGGCTGATGTAGGAACCTAAGAGTGAGAAAAAGGAGCATCAAGCCCAGGATACTGGGCTTCCGGGGGACACTGCTCCCTGATAGAGCAAAGGGGAAGTGACATTCCGAGAGGAAAGAATCTGGCTGAACTGAGTAGAGGCGGGGGAGTAAGGAACAGGAATTCCAGGACTGAGCGAGGCAGGAGGGCACGTGAGTCCCCCCCCAGGTGTGCTTCCCCTCCCTGAGCCTCAGCTTCCTCACCTGTAGAAGGAGGATCACCATAGCACCCACCACAGGTGCCCTGCAGACTAGAAAGAACCCTCTGGAACAGTGCCTGCCAGGTACTAGCTGGAGAGGAGTGGGTTATTGTGGGTATCCCGCCGGCCCTCAGAATGTCCCTTCCAGCCCCCGGGGCGGGGACCCCATGTGGTAGCCCAGCCATCCTGGGGTGCAGCCCTGGTGGCACCAAGGAGCGCTCAGCCAGCTTCCACCAGGGGGCGAAGGGGCCCAGGGCCAAGGCGGTGAATGAGGTACTTGACCTCGGGCGGGATCGCCAGGCCGCCAGGGGGTCGCGCTGCTGCAGGCGGCGGTGGGGCGGGGCGCGGGGCGCGGGTCTGCCCAGGCCCGGGTTACGAGTTACGTCCCGACAGTGCGCTGGCCGAGCTGGGGACCCGGCACGGGGCGCGGGACGGGGGACCCGGGCTGGTGCTCACGGGCGGGGCCGGGAAGCCCCTTCCCTCCACCTGGTGGGGTCCTCAGGCACCCAGAGATTTCCTCTCCGGACCCTGGTTCTCGCTCCCCTCGCTCAGTGGGGCGCTGGGGAGTCGGGCCGTCGGAGCCGCCCCAGTCCGACCCCGGGAAGCCAGGGCGCGAGGTTGCAAGGTCGCGGAGGGGCTGGGGCCCTGGCAGCACCAAGAGTAGGCGAGGAGGTCTCCGTGGGCCCCGGGGCCATGGCCAACGTGCCGCAGACGCAGGCCGGTGAGGGGTGGTCCATGGGTCCCCCAGCAGGAGGGGCCCCGCGGGGATGACGAGCAGCGCGCCTGAGGGCCTGCAGGGGGCGTCCCAGCCACAGGCTGCAGTGGGAGGTCGGGGGCTTGCTAGGACCCGCGTGCTGGGTGGCAGGCCTGGTGGCCGCGGGCATCCCTGGGGTTGGCGGTCCCGGTCCAGCGGAGGGCGGGGGCCCTGCCGACGCCCCCTGTGCACCCGCCGCGGCCTCTCCCTGCACTGGGGTGCTCGGGGCTGGGCGAGGGGCAGTGCGGCCAGGGCTGGGGTGGGCAGCTGCGAGGGGGCGCAGTGGGGGCCACCCCCCAGGACTGAAGCCTGGGCGCAGAACACGGGAGAACGCGGCTCAGATGCGGAAAGCCCGCCTGTGGCCGAGGCGTGGTGGCCCCCGGGCTCGCGGTGCTCTAACTTCCAGACTGCGTGCACCTGCGTCCTAGGGCAGGCAAGTGTTTGGGGGCTTAAGGTAGAGCAGAGGCCTCACCGAGGTTGGGGGAGGAGGTCGAGGCCCCGGGAGTCTCTGGAAAGAGCTGTTGTGGGGTGTGGTGCTCAGGCCCGCTGTCCCGGAAATCACTCCCGATTTGTTCCTGTTTACTGTAAGCTGGGGCTCTGCTCCTGTCACTGACCTTCAGGAAAGCCGGGTGGTGAGTGTGCTTCTCATTTTACCAGGGCAAAACTGGTTTAAGGAGATCAGGGTCGCCCTCCCGGGTCATAATGCAAGAAGGGCCAGACTGGAGACTGGGATCCAGGTCTCTTCAGCTGCAGCCCGTCCTTCCTGGTTCTGCCCTCAGCCTCCTTTATCGTAGTTTGTTCCTTTTTTTCTCGAAAAATTCTTGCTCAGCATTGACACAATAAACCACACACAAAGTGTGCAGCTTAGTAAGTTGTGACCCATGTGGACACCTGCGGATCCGGCACTCCAGTCAAGGCAAGAACTCACGTGTCTCCCCACGGGCTGTCCCTCATGCCTCTGGTACTTGCGGTGGCAAAAGAAATAGAGAAAAAAAATCAAACTTCCTTACAACTCACAGCCCATCGACAAGCCCTTGAGACAGGCAGAGTGACCTTCCTCTGGAGTTTAGCTGCCCCAATGTTCATACTTGCTAGAGGCAGAAGGCAGCCTTAGTTTGACATTAGTCTGACCCCCAGGATCCTGTAAAAATCCCCTTGGAAACTTCCTTTATCTCTATCCCCCCACAGTACGAGTTAGCAGTCATCCCCCAAGCATATGACCGTTGACATACCTCTGAAGGGTCTCACGACTAAGGTTTTACTGGACAGGAGTAAGTGACCTTTTCCTAACCGCAGCTAGCCCCTCAAGGTCCTGGAAACCTTGCTTCCAAATTCCTTGGTGACTTACACTATCCATTACACCCCCCAACTTGAACGTATAGAATCAGTCTCTCCTCATGACCCCAGTGCAGCTCTTTCTACCCTCGGGTCCTACCCCCGTGCTTTAATAAAACTACCCTTTTTGAGCCAAACACATCTCAAGAATTCTTTCTTGATCGTTCACTCCTGAACCCCATTTCACAGAGTACTGCACTGTCTTGGTTGACCTCAGGCCACAGGGACCAGTGTTCTACCTGCTCTGGGACTCTTGAGGAGCAGGGGCTCTGTCGTTGGTCTCCATACCCCTGTGGTTCCAGTGACATCTGGCCCATGACTGACCCCATGCAAACCTGAAGATTGAGTTCAGGTCTTTTGAGAAACCTGGCAAACAATCCCCATTCTCAGATTCCCTACATCCCTTCATCTGTTCATTTATTCATTCAACCGATATTTTTAAAGATTTGATAAGTACCAGGAGGCCTAGTGTTGGGGAGGACACCAGCTGAGGAGGCGACCTCGGAGACACGAATGGGGAGCCCCCAGTGTGTGAAAATCTGGGGTACAGGCGTGCCAGGAGAGGACCCGGCTTGGGGGAAGGCACCCCCATTATCAGCTGGGCATGTTAGGGGAGAGAAGGGCTGGGAAAGGAGCCAGTCTGAGAGAGAGGCAGGAAGGGGTCCTGGAGGGCCTTGGAGAGGGCAGTCAAGGTGGCAGACGGTCAGCTGGGTGTGCGGTGACCGGGCTGCTCTGTGGGTGGCTCCCGCGAGGTGCTTGACTCCTTCACCCTCAGACCCTGCACCGTGGAGGACAGACAGAACCATGTCCAAGAGTTCTGGAAAATGGCATGGCTCCAGGCTCTGGCTCTCCTCTCCTTGTGGCATGTCTCTCAGGAGCCGACTGGTCACAGAATTACGAGCCTAACCTCCCTTCAGTCTGGACTGAGCCTGACTCCGAACGCACCTAGTGTTTCTCTTCCTTGAGCTTAGGGGCCAGTGTTCTCCTATTGATGGCACTTACTGTTTGTTTTTTTTTCTAGATTTATTTATTTGAGGGGGGATTGGCAGAAAGAGAGGGAGAGAGAATCCTTAAGCTAACTCCCCACTGAGCCCATGACCTGAGCTGAAACCAAGAGTCAGACACTTAACCTACTGAGTCATCCAGGTGCTTGTCTGGTGACACTTATTTTTAATAGCTTTATGAGAGTATTACTTATATACCATAACATTCACCTGTTTTAATTGCACTACTCAATTATTTTTAGTCCGTTTACAGAGTTGTGTCATCGATCTTGGAATGTTCCCCAGAATTCCCCGGTGCCCATCTGCAGTCCCTCCCTGTTCCAACCCACCTGGAGCAACCACTTTCTGTCCCCATAGCTTTACCTTTTCTGGACTTTTCGTATCAGTGGAGTCTTAGAATATGTGATCTCTTGCATCTGACTCCTTTCTCTTTGAACAAATGTTTTCAAGGTACATCCATGTCGGAGCGTGTTATCCGTGTTTATTTTTCTTGCTGAGTATTTCCACTATATGGACGTACCATGGTTTGCTTATCCACTCTTCACTGGGTGGACATTTTGGTCGTTTCCTCTTTGTAGTTTTGTGAACAACACTGCAGTGAACGTGGCATACAAGTGTTTGTGTGGACGTATGTTTTCATTTCTCTTGGGTGGACACCTAGTTGTGACGTCGCTGGATCATATGGTAATTGTATGTTTCACATTTTCAGACTACCCAACTCTCTTGCAACGTGGCTTTGCCATTTGACGCCTCCACCTGCAGCGTAGGAGGGTTTCTGTTTCTCCACATCCTCACCAACCCTTGTTGTTCTAGCCATATTTGTGAATAGAAAGTGGTATCTCCCCGAGGTTTTGATTTGCTTCACCTAATGACTAAAGACGTTGAGCACCTTTCCATGTGCTAATTATCCATGTGAATGTGTTTGGTGAAAGGTCAGTAAAAAATGCTTGCCTTTTGGGCGCCTGGGTGGCTCAGTTGGTTAAGCGACTGCCTTCGGCTCAGGTCATGATCCTGGAGTCCCTGGATCGAGTCCCACATCAGGCTCCCTGCTCGGCAGGGAGTCTGCTTCTCCCTCTGACCCTCCCCGCTCTCATGTGCTCTCTCTCATTCTCTCTGTCTCAAATAAATAAATAAAATCTTTAAAAAAAAATGCTTGCCTTTTAAGAAATTGGAGTATTTGTCTCCTTTGTTGAGTATTAAGAGTTCCTTAATTTGGGATTCCTGGTCCCTGTTAGATACAAGATTTGCAAATATTTTTTCTTGATTTATGGCTTGTCGTTGAACTTTCTTCATGCTGTTTTTGAAGGCAAGAGTTTTAATTTTGATGGACTCTACGTAATCAGTTTTTCTTTTATTGATTGTGCTTTTGGTGTCATATGTAAGAAATCTCTGCTTGTCCTAATGTCACAAAAACATAGTCCTGTGTTTTTTTGTAAAAGGTTTCCAGGGACGCCTGGGTGGCTCCATCGGTTAAGTGTCTGCCATCAGGTCAGGTCATGGTCTCGGGGTCCTGGGATCGAATCCAGGGTTGGGCTCCCCATTCAGCAGAGAATCTGCTTCTCCCTCTGCCCCTCCTCCCACCCGTGCTCACTCTCTCAAATAAATAAGTAAATAAATAAATAAAATCTTTTAAAATTTTTTAAAAAATGAAAGTTTTCCAGTGTGTGTCTTTCAAGGATGCCTGCATCGTATCTAAGCTCTCTCAACTGTCGGCAAGCAGTTGTTACTAGTGTTCCCTTAAAATGCTTTTAGTCTTTGTATTATTCTGGTGTCAGTCCTCCTCTTCCATTCCTGATTTTATAGGCTTTGTGTCTCTCCCCTTCCCTCTCTCTGTCCCCCCCCCCACCTTCTAAATTTGGTCAGTCAGCTAAGCTTTATCCACTTGTGTTGCTCTTCCTGAAGAACTCGCCTTCAGTTTCACTGTGTTGTCCCCTTTCTGGGTCTTGTAGTTTCTTAGGGTCAAAACTTAAGCACCGACTTGAGATTTTTTCTATTCGTATCCAGGCATTTACAGTCTAAGTTTCCCTCAAACATGGCTTTGGCTCCATCCCATGAATGTTGGCATGTGGTACTCTCCTTTCCATGCAGCTCAGAAGATACCTCTTGGACCCGCCGGTCATTGAGAGGCCTGCTGCTTCGTTCGCACGTGTTTGTGGGGTTCCCAAAGTGCCTTGTCACTGCCCTTCTTATCTCGCTCCCTGTGGTCGGAGCGCGGGCTTTGTGTGAGAGCGATCCTCTTCAATGCATCGCTCCTTGTTTTGTGACCGAGCACTTGCTGCACCTTGCAGGATGTTCCGTGTCCCGCTGAGGACGGTGTGCATTTTGCTGTTTGCTGCACTGAGTGTTGTGGGTGCTGTCAGGCGGTCTCATCGGTCGGCGGTGTTGTCCAAGCTTCTGTATCTGCTGCTTGTCTAAGTACCACTTCCATTATTGACGGCGAAGTAGGATTTTGAAATCTCCAACTATACCTGTAGGATGGACCATTTCTCCCTTCAGTCGTGCCCGTGTTTGCCTCGTGTGTTTTGGGGCCAGGCTGCGAGGTGTGTGCATGTTTGTGCACGTTGTCCTATCTTCAGTGCGGTCCTCTAGTGCTCATTTCAGCGCCGTCATTTCAGACTCCAAGGAAAGGGGGTGCTCGGTGGAAAGAGGCCCTGGGGAGGCCTGCCTACCTCTAGGATCCGTGGGGACGCCCGGGCGATGTGCTGCGAGGGAGGAACGCCCTGCCCCCCTCCCTGCGAGTGAGAGAGAAGCCAGTGTTGATCAGGTCGCCCAGATGCCGGCGGGATGCTCAAAGCACCTGCCAGGGGGAGGCAGCCTCCATGGGAGCTGATGTGAATCACACGCGAGGGAGGTGGGCAGGTTGGGAGGAGCAGAGTGGAGTGACCCGGGTCCCACGGCTGTTTTCCAGGAAGAACACAATGCTGCTCACTTCGCCCCATGGCCTTCCTCCTGATAACGCTCGTCTGGGTCCTCTTCGGGGAAGAAACGTGGATCCCGGGCCGGACCTTGCACGCAGCCGCGGCAGCAGGGAACAGAGCTGTCCCCCACGCCAGCACCCCCATTGTCATGACAGGACTGATGAGCTGCCCCTCCACACACACCCTCCCACTGAACCCCAGCTTGTGGGGAGCTGCCGTGCTGTTAGCTTCCAGAGGGAGAAGATTCTAGAACTATGGAGTAAAGGCCCGCGGCTGCTCTCCTGGGGGCTGGGGACACGGCTGGACCCGCTCCCTGGGTCAGCCTCAGCTGTGCTGTCCACACAGGGCCCCCCCGGCTGCGTGGGGAGCTTACGTGGAGCACTGTTCGCAGTGACGCCCTCCTGCCACCTCTGTGGATGGGATGAGTCCCCGGGCTCTGGGGACAATTGCCCCCGGCCCTGCCCAAGCCCCTGCAGCTGCGCCACGGAGCTCTGGGCTCCCCGCGGGGGGCCCTGCTCCTGCTTTGCACGGGGATGGACGGACAGCCATCCCTGGCCCACCCTCCTCAGCAGTGGCCTTTGGTGGCTCTTTCCACAGCCCTGGCTGCCGGAGCCTGAGAAGCGTGATGCTAGGGGTCAGGGAAGCGGGGGCCGGGTAAGTGGGGTGAAGGCAGGGTCACGATGCCTGACAGCCTCGGGGACTGGCTGTGTGCCGGGGGGCAGCGGGGGCTGCTTCACGGGCTGGCCCCGCACCTGGGCTGACGCATCGGTGATCTGAGCCTCAGTCTCTTCCACCCCACTCTGCCCAGAGTGGCCAGGCCACTTCCATGACGAGTCCCCTGGGAGGACGGACCCCTACCTGTCTGGCTTCAGCCTCGACCTCTCCTCTGACCTCCCATCTCCTGCCTCCAGGGTCACCTGTTTGTCCCACCGTGACCCCCTGCTCCTGCCCCGCTCCTTCTCTCAAGTCCCTGATTTAGGGAAAGGCCTCGCCTTCCCCCAGCCCAACCTGGAAGCCTGGCAATCCTCCTTGCCTCCCCCCCCCCCGCCCCCCACACTGCTCCGAACAGGCCTGCCTCTCCTGCCTCTAGGTACCTGTCTATCCCCATGGAGTATCTGCGCTCCCTGCCCTGCTCTAGGGGAGGCCCTGCCATCTTTCCGGCAGCTTCCAAGATGTCTCCCTGTCCTCTGCTGCACAGAGCCCATCCTCCTCCTGGAGCCAGAGTGATCTTTCCGGGACAAACCTACGAGCCCCTCTGGGGTCTGTTCCCCTAGAGTCAGCCACCTGCTGTGGGTCACAAACCGCCCAGTTCATGGTGTGAGACGTCCCAGCCACTGACCCCCACATCTCCCCATATCCTGGGGGTGACTAGGCTCAGCTGGGCAGTTCTGGCCCAGGCCTGTCCCGTGAGTGTAGACGGACGGTACCGGGCTCAGGGGCAGCTTGAAGGCGTCCTCCCATTTTGCGGGTGGACGCTGGCTCTGGCCTGAGACCCCGGCTGGGGCCTGCCCTCGGCCTGTGCTCTTTCTCAGCCTGTTCGGCGGTTCCGTGATCAGTGTCTCCAAGACACACAGGGCTGCGTGGCCCTTGATGAAGTGGCTTCAGAGGACCCACAGCACCTGCACCACCGCACAGGATTTGTTAGACCCTCAAGAGCAAGCAGCTGGGTGCAGAGCCTGGGGAGGGAGCCCCCCTGGGTGGGAGGGGCCTCAGGTGCCAACACGGTCTGGAACCAGCAGCTGCTTGGTCTCAGCTCAGGAGCGCGTGCAGACACGGGGGTGCAGCCTGTGGGGACGGTTCCTCCTGGAAGGACCCAGAAGCTCAGGCACCTGCAGCAGCTCCCCAGCCCCACTGACTGGGCGCAGCCACATCCCTGCAAACTCACATCACGCTGTGTGATTTTCAGGATGCTTTACCCCCAGCCCAAGGTGCTAACACCCGTGTGAGCACATTCACTGAAGTCTCCCCCCCTCCCCTTCCCTCTCTTCCCCTCCCTTTCTCAAACTTAGGGAAATTTAAGGTAGACACGGAAGGGCGGGCTGATTGAAAACTCAGCGGGTGCACGATTGCCAGATTCTTTTCCTCTCCCTGTTTCTGAGATCTGGATTTGGGGCCCACAGATTATTCTGTCCTTTTCTCCTGTGCCTTGCATTTCCTGCTTTCTGTCCCTTGCCCCCCAAAGAATGTGTAAGGGGGGCTTGCTCCCTCCCGGGGGAGGGCCCCCTGGCCTTGCTGGGAAATCCCAGCTCCCACTCTGAGGTCCAGCAGGGACCAGGTTTGCTTAGAGCTGGGAGGGATTTGCACAGGTTTGCGTTTGGGTTTCTTGCAAGTGTGAAGTCCTTCTGGAAGGAGGGTGCACCTGGTGGGTCCCTGAAGGCATGGGGGGGAGGGGGAGGTCCCGGGGGGCTGGTGAGCACCAGGGCCCTTGGTGCGCTCACCCTCCTCCCAGCTCGCATTTGCCGTGCTGCTCTCTTGTGTCCCAGGAGGAACGATGTCCTTGTCCTCACCTCTTGGCTGGCCCCCATCATCTGGGAAGGGACCTGCAACACTGACATCCTGAATGAGCAGTTCTAGCTCTGGAACTTCACCATCGGACTACCGGTGTTTGCTATCAAAAAGTAAGTAGATGAGATGACAGAGTGTGGGGACTGGGAGGCAGGAGAGACGGGGGACATCAAGGTGTGTGTGTGTGTGTGTGTGTGTGTGTTGAGCACAGAGTGAGGGGACCCCCGTCCTGGGGATTAATGTGAAAGTGCATGCTTTCAGCAGTCTTACTGGGCTCTTGTGGGCCCAGTGAGGGGGCAGCCCCTGGCCCCCTCTCAGGAGGCTGCACATCACAGAGGGTGACAGCTCTGGCCTGCTGCCACCACCCTCGGACAGACACAGCCCTGACCCCAGGCCGCTCTCCTGATGAGTCAAGGGGCAGAGCACCCCAACATCCGGGCTACTGGGGAGCCCCCCCACCAGAGAAGTGGAAGGGGGGGACACGTGTGCGCTGTGGATTGGTAGCGAGGCGATGCCTGTCGAGCTGGCCCCTCCTGTGTGTCCCTTACAAGATGAGGCTCATGAGGGCACAGCCAGGTCAGACAGCACTCGGTGCCAGAGCCCAGGCCCCTGAGAGGGAGCTGAGCAGTGAGGCCCTGGGACTCCAGCAGACCCGGGAGCGCCCTGGGCACCCTGCTGGCAAGTGGCCTGGCCCCTCGGAGTCTCTGGAAGCTGGGGTTGGCGACAGCATCGGCTCTCAGGATTGCCGTGGGGGCCACGAAAGCCCGGGGGTCAGGGCCTGCGGCAGGCGGAGCTTCCTTCCCCCACAGAGCTCAGCCGAGGCCCGCAGGATGGCCCTGAGGCCCGTGCAACCCTTTTCCCAGGCCATCGCGAGGGAGGCATTCGGCCCCTTGTGCGGGGACTAAGAAGGGCCCAGGTCGCCTCAGAGTCGTCCTCCAGTTCCTGGAGACCAGGGACTGAAATCACCAACCAGACCCTCACTGCCCAGGGTCCGCGGCCAGCCCTGTCCCAGCGCTCTCTGCACAGGCGGTCCTCACGCGTCCCCCTCTGGGCCGGGACCGCGGCCCCGGGGCGTGGGCAGGTGCTGGGCTTGCATGAAGGAGCCCTTGCCGACAGCATCCTCGGAGGGAAGCAGCCGTGAACCCACACTCACAACGGCTGGGCCTGGCCTTGCCCCTGGTGATCTGACTCGGGCCTGCGGGCTGTGTGCCTGTCCCGTTTCAAGGCAGTGCCCGCCTTCCCCGTGTGAGCCCTTGACTAAGCTGCCAGGTGTGGGGCAGGCCCAGGGAAGTAGCCTCAGTGCCCGCTCAAAAAAACCAGTCTCAGAGGGGCTCACCACACTTGCCTGACGATGGGGGAGCTGCTGTCCCCACTGTGGGGGGCAGGTAGACCGCTCACAGGGGCACCAGCCATGTGAGGGGGTTGGGCTGGGGGAGGGGGAGATGTAGACCTGGATCCGGAAGCTTACCCGCTTGGATTCAAGGCTGGGGCCTAAGCAACCCCCCTCTTCTTTCCCCTTCCCTGCCCCCGGGCTGCACCTGATTCCTGGTTGGGGGAGTTCCAGGTGACCCCTCCTAGGAATACCAGTGGTTGACTGAGGACCTTGTCAGCAAGAGGCCCAGTAGCCTTCAAGGGGGGACCCTCCAGAGGGTGGAGCCAGCTGTGGGGACCAGCGACAGTCCACTCAAAGCAAGAGGGGCAGGTGGCCGGCCCTGCTTCTTCTACCCGGTCTGTAGGGCACAGAAACGACGGCTGTGCCCAAAGGTGCTCCACTCCTGGCAGGTGGGGACAGGACCTGCAGGGGGCGGCTGGGGGGGGGCACCTGCAGGGTTTGCCCGGGAGCTCAGCACAGGGGGAGAGTTCCTGGCTCCAGCATGCTGACTGTGGGGCTACACGGATTTCCACCCTCCCAAGCCTCGGGCTCCCGTTTGTAAGATGGGGTGCTGATGGCCCCCATCTCTGGGAATGGAAGGGAGGGAGGCCCCACCGGCAGACATGCTCAGGACAGGCCAGGAGGGTGGCTGTGGCTTAAAGCAGCCCAGGGCCTGCCCCCATGATGAAGGTGCACACGAGCACGGCCCCGAGCTCTGGGGTCCTGCCGCCAGCCTCTGGCAGTGACCCTCCTCCCGCCCTGTCCCCCGTCCCTGTAGCTACGTGGTCTTCCTGGAGCTGTTCCTGCAGATGGCGGAGAAGCAGTTCACGGTGGGACACAGGGTCACCTACTACGTCTTCACCGGCTGGCCGGCTGCCGTGCCCCGTGTGCCGCTCTGGGAGGGCCGGAGGGTGGTGGTCTTCGAGGTCCCCGGAGCCCCGTGCTGGCAGGATGTGTCCGTGCACCGCATGGAGATGATCAGCAACTTCTCGCAGCGGCTCTCCCTCCGCAAGTTGGACTACCTGGTGTGCATGTAGTGGACATGAAGTTCAGCGACCATGTGGGGGTGGAGATTCTGCCCCCCTCTTCGGCACCCTGCACCCCGGTTTCTACAGGGCAGCCCATGAGGACTTCAGCTACGAGTGCTGGACGTGGTCCCAGGGGCCATCCCCAGGGCCCAGAGTGACTTTTACTACGCAGGAGGCTTTTCTGGGGGTTCAGTGGTGGAGGTTCCCGACTGACCTCAGCCTGTCACCAGGCGATGGTGGTCGACTGGGCCAGTGGGATCGAGGCCGTGTGGCACGACGAGAGCCACCTGAACAGGTACCTTCTCTACCCCAAGCCCACCAAGGTGCTGTCCCCAGAGTACCTGTGGGACCCGCAGCTGCTGGGCTGGCCCCGGGTCATGAGGAAGCTGAGATTCGTGGCCGTGCCCAAGAATCACCGAGACATCCGGGACTCGTAAGGGGCTGACCCCGACTCCGTCAGGTGGTGCCACCCCGAGCAGAGCCGTCAGAGCAGATTCCTACCTCTGTCCCCTCAAGGGAGACTGTGGAGCCCAGCACTGCCCACACGGCCGTGTTCAGGGCCCCCAGCGCCCCCCCTCACAGGAGGCCTGCCTGGGGGTCCAAGTTCCTCTCTTTGTGGTCGGTGCGTTTGGATCACTTATGCATCATTTGCAGCTGTGAAGGCCTCCAACTCTTATGTCGGATGTTTTTCTGTGTCAATGCTGAGCAAACATTTTATTTTTTTTAAGATTTATTTATTTATTTGACAGAGCACAAGCAGTGGAATGGGAGAGGGAGAAGCAGGCTTCCCGCGGAGGAGGGAGCCCGATTTGGGGCTCGATCCCAGGACCCTGGGATCATGACCTCAGTGGAAGGCAGACGCTTGACCGACCCAGCTACCCAAGCACCCCCCTGCCTTGCTTTTAAGTGGCTCTTCCCGTGCTGGTGTTTGTGAAATGTGGGCGCTCACTCGTCTGGATGCCTGTCCTGTTGGGGTCCCTCAGTGCCCACCCAGTGCACTTATGCTCTCATTGGCCTGCACGGCATCTCAGCAGGCATTTACTGAGTGCCTCCTGTGAGCTCCGTCTCCCAGCAAGGGGCAGAGCGTGAGAGCAAGAGCTAAGATACAGGATCCCTGTTCCTGGGCCTTCCTGGGACACGTGATGGCCCCGTCCTCCAGACTCACTACTTTCCTTGTTGTTGTAAGGAGATAGACATCCGACTGATACAGGTAAGCACGCTGAAGTGTAGAATTCAGTGGCAATCAGTACATTCACTGTTCTGCACCTGCCACCTCCATCCATCACTATAACTTTTTCATCATCCCAAACTGAACCTCTCCCCACAAGACACTAACCCCCCATTCCCCCTCCCCAGCCCTGGGACCCACCAACTCCTTCCACCTCAAAGAGTCGGAGTGCTCTCGGTCCTGCAAGTGGGATCCTCCAGTATCGGTCCTTTAGGGACTGGCTTCTTTCATGTGGCACCCAATGGCCTCAAGGTTTGTCCCCATTAGCCTGGACCTGACCCACTTTTCCCCAAATGGAGTGGCTCAGCCCACCCTCTCCTGTCTAAGCTGAGCCTCCTCAGTCCCCTCTGCTCCTGTCATCTTCATCCTCAGCCTGAAGGGTCCCCGGACACTGCCCCTAGGGCCTCATTGATCCTAGCCAATCTGTAGCTTTGAAAACCTGTTCAACCCAGATGCTGACATCTCCGCCCAGGGCCTTAGGCCTCACCTATCCCATCTGTCCACGTCAGGTACCTGCTCTTCCCACCAGCCGGTCACCTGCTCCTCCCACAGGTGTCCCCATCTCAGGAGAGGGAAACACCAAGTCCAGACCTTTGGAGTCCTCTGTGACTTCTTGCTTGCCACCCACTCTCCCAGTAGTGAGGTGGCTCTTGGAGGGCATTCAATGTCCAAAACATTTAAAGGCATATTGAGTCTCTGCTGCCTAGGGCAATAGAGGACAGTTGGGGCAAGTAGAAACCAAGCAGAATCACTGGAATTAAGGCCGAGTTTTGAGGAGCTTTAGGGAAGAAGGGCCTGGAAGCTCTGATCTATTCCCAAACCCCGAGGACACTGCACGCACCCAGCATGCACGGGCTGGGTGCATGCTCGGGGCCCACCTGAGAAGGCCCCAGGCTCTCCCCTCGGGTGATTGTCAGACTCTGCAAATAGGAAGTGAAGGCCAAGGCAGAGTCCTACACGGCCTGGCTGGTGCCGAAGGTGGATCCTGACACACACCCAGAGCCCTGCTCCCTGTCTGCAAACCTGGAAGTTGCTTTATTCGGGGGTTGGTTTCCAGATGTTTAAGGAAATCTCACCCAATCCACAGTAGACCATTATATTCACAGAACAGACACTTCCAGGGCCACACACGACAAGGATTACAGATTTGACAAAGTTAGTTCAGATGAGTCCCCAAGCCCACAGAACTGCCGTGAGAGGAGCAACAGTGACCCCTGGGGAGGAAAGAACTGTACCTGACTTGCTACATTGCACTATTCACAGAGTCCCGGATCCAAAGGCAGAGAGACGAGTGGGGTGACACAGGAAAGTATGTATCTCAGTGGGGCTGGCACGGGAAGGCGGCGGACTGGCATGATCTCCAGGTGCTGAAAACACACCTGGGTTGTTATGTAAGGAAAATCTAGGAGAAGGGTGTGTGGGTTGTGCAGGGGGCAGTAGGTTCCTTTCTAGCATTGTCTTGGGGTCAATCATGCCAGGTCTTGCTGGCGTCAGGCAGCGGTGAAATCTCAAGGGGTCATTTTGGTGCCTGCCGGGTGTTTCACTTGAGTTCACAGATGAGCCCGAAGGAAGGACGTCAGCAGTTAGGAAGTATAGACAAAGGTCAGAGGGGAGGTGGGTAAAGGCCTCTTTCACTCAGAGAGCAGGGGAGCTCCGAGCCTCTGCTATCCACCTTGCCCTGCTCATTGCTTCCATCCGCCTGGCCCTGAGTTCTGTCCTTTTAATGAACTGGTCATCTAGTAAGTAACATGTTTCTCTGAGTTCCATGAGTCACTCGAGCAGATGATTCGACTCTGAGGAGGAGGTTGTGGGGACCTCCAATCTGTAGCCCATAGCTCGGAAACACGGGTGACCTCTCTGTCCAGCCACTGGCGGACCACTGAGTTAACAGCACAGGGATTCAGTGGCCGCACACAGCAAAGAACACAGACTTGACAAAGGTAGTTCAGAAAAGTCATTGAGACAACAGTAGGTAACTACAAGGAGCAGCAATCATGAAGCCTGGCATGGGGAAGGTCTGATGGTCAGGATGCTTCCAATGTAATCTTCATCATCACGCCCTGGACTTGTCACTGGGGCCAGGTCCCCCGTCTCGGGTCAAGGAGCTCCTACATGTTCCACGTGCCTCTCCCTGGCTCCCCAGCCATGAACAGCCCTGTGCTGCTTCCCAGCAGAGGTCAGTTTTAACCAAGGCCAGGAAGATGGGATGGGTTGTCCTGACTTCCCCACCCTGCTCCCCACCAGTGCTGCAGGAGAGGAGAAAGTTTTCCTCAACCCTCTCAAGGTCCCTCTCTGGGTCTGGAAATTGACAAAGACAGGTCAACGGGAGAAAAGCAGCAAAGTGCGTTGATTTATTGGTGGGAGCCTCACTCACAAGACCATGCAGACCAGTAGAGGTGTCTCCCTTTTAGACAAAGGGCCCCAGAAGAGGCAGGAGACAAGGAAGATGACAGGACAGAGCTGCCCAAAGAGGACAAAGTAAGGGTCAGAGGATCACAGAGACCCTTGGGAAAGCCTGGAGGCCCTGGAGACATTGGCTGAAACGCTGTCATTGGGTCAGAAAAGTGGTGTCACAACCCCCCAGTGACATTGTATGATTTACTCTTCGTTGTTTCTAGGAATCAGTGTGTATGGGCCATTAGAACTCACGCTGCATTAAGTCTAGCATATACTTACTTTTTATCACTTTTCAGGAGTAGATTTTTCTAGAGGATGTGCTGAGCATGGGTGTCTCCATTCTTTTCTTTGTGCAGCTGGCCTCTGTTTTCAGGAGCAGATTCCTGGTGCTCATCACCTCTGTTAGCCCTGAGGACTGCCCCCTATCACCTCTCGCAGTGGACCTGAGTGCCATGTGGGCAGGGACCACATGGGCTGGGGATGCTCACGGATGGAGTCCCAGTGCTCAGTACAGAGCAGGGACCCCAGATCCTCTGCTGAATGAGAGAGGAAGGGGGGAAGGAAAGAGGAGGGGGGAGGAAGGCAGGGAGGAATGGGTGGAGGGAGGGAGGGAGGGAGGGAAACCAAGGAAGATGGGCCCATCCATCAGGAGCTCTTATTTGGGGTGAGGTTTGAGGGCATCACAGCCCAGGCCCTGGATGTTGCCTCAGGGCCTGTCCAACTGTCCTCCCAGTGCGGACCTTCTTCTCCTTGGCCCTCTGTCATCCTGGATCCTCTCCACCTCCTCCTCAAACAATTCTGAATGTTTTCAGGAGAGGGTGGCAGGAGGGGGTCTCAGGAGAGGCTGCCCGGATCCTGTGCCCTGGACGACACAGTGACAGTAGCTATAGGGCATTTTATCATGAGGACTGGGACCGAGGATCCCATCCATCTCCTTGGGCATTAGCGTTGTTCCATTCCCTGCTCTCTCCACCACCACTGTGCTGAACACTCCTGAAAACACATCTGTGAAAAACCGAGCCAGAGTTTCCAGGCGTGAGTCCGAGGACGAGCGTGCTAGATGACGGGTGCACCTGCGGCCTGGGATGGGTGCTGCTCACTGTTCTCCCAGACAGGAGTGCCCGTCACCCTTCTCTCCCGGGGACCTCCGTTTCCTCACGTTCTCCCCAGGGCTGCTGGTCCCCAGACCAGACACCTGCCAGTCTGAGGGTGACCAGTGCTGCCTCCATAGGGTTTCCTTTGCCAGAGTCCTTCCCCGGGAGCTCCTGCACCTCTGACTCCCCCCAAGCCTGTCCCCCTCCCCTTGGACTTGCATGCATTTCGTCTCTGTCCCTGTGGAACCCAGTGACTTGGAGCATGGTTTGGACCAGAGGCATGGGAAACCTTTCTGTGGCCTTGGGTTGTGAGCAATGCTTTGGCCCTTTGGGGTGTGTCTTCCAGCTTTCTGCATTTCCCTGGTTTCTCTGTGGGTCACAGGAGGAACCAGCCCTTTCCTATCTGGGGTCAGGCTGAGGTGTCCCAGCAGGAACAGGGGTCTCCACCCCGAGATTGTGTCCATATTTACCAAAGGGGGCTCTATGATTACATCTCATCTGTAATCCATCGGGGATTTCAACATCAAATAAGGAAAATTCTATGTCAAGTCAACACAGAAAAGAATGAGTCCCCTTTGAAAATAGGGGGGCAGACACAAAGGCCCATACTGTGTGATTCCACGTACAGGAAACATCCAGAACAGGTAAAGGAACAGAGAGAGAAAGCAGCTTAGGGGTTTCCAGGGAGGCCTTCTGGTTCGTGGACTCCTTTGGGGAAGCAGATATTCCACAGCCATGTTCTGTGGTGTGGTGGCCCAGCGTTGGGAATGTACTTCATGCTCAGGACTTGTTCAACTGAAAACAATTAATTTTATTTAAAATAAATAATAAACAGCATATAGGACATGGAAAGAGAATATAACAGTTAATATGTACCAGAGAGAAAGAACATAGGGGGAGGGGATGAAACAATCTGGCGGGGCATCGGGGTCAGGTGATGGGGCTAAGGGTACTTGTACAAAGAGCTCTCCCCGTGAGGATGTGGGCTCTGGATGTGGTTCTGGGAGC